CCTCGACCAAACAGATCCTGAATCCGGTCTTTTCAAAGTATTCGAAAATTTCTGATCAATTGCTACCAATTAGTCATAAGATTAAAATGAATGCTCCATAGGTTGTGATGCGTTACTTCGGTGCGACCAACCAATACGTTGGCGTCGCTCACATACACTGGCCTAATGGCAACAAACCAAGAGATATACCCGAGTGTGGCTTCGATGGCGGTCTGTGTCCGGGTCTGCACTCTATTCACAATTCATTGCTCACTAAAAAGCTTTTGTGACTCAAAAGTCATTTGCTATCACTTCTAATAGTTTTGTGCAACAAATATATTCTATAAAAAAAATGCTCTAGTTAATAATTATAAAAATGAATTTGACATATTTATGATCAGAGCTACCGTTTTGGGATATACTGGCGGCTCCATTGCTGACAATATTAGTGTTTTTGTTGGCAATTGCTATACTAATATGTGGTGTGGCTTCGATGGCGATCTGTGTCCGGGTCCGCACTCTATTCACAATACAGGGCCAAAATATGGCAGTGCTACTTTGATTTTAATTTATTTTAACACCGTCTTGTTTATTTTATCCATATATTCACTAAATTATAACTGAATAGTTAGGGTTTTGTTTGTTATATGATTTGACCATGTGGGAATTAAATAAAATTTTATACAAGGGGTATAATTTTAAACATGCAAAATTTTTTCATTTTTCTATACAATTCATAGATAAATGTTAACAAGTTGAAATTTATTATAAACTGTAATTCACTACTCTAATAAAATTATTTTGATTTTGCATTAATATTCATTTATAAGGAGATATTTGATTTTTAACAAAATAACAGTTTAATGAAAAGATTTTAAATAATTGAGATAAAAATTAATTATGTAAATTTAATTTTTAATTTATATTATTTTTTAAATTAATACTAAAATTATCAAATATAGAAATATTTATTAATGAATTATATTCTCAAAATGATTTCAATTATTTTGCAATAAATATGTCAAACGAGTCCGAAAATTGGACATAACCTTTTTCAATGTATTTTTGTCAATAGAATTAATTTTATCCGTAATTTGAACGTAATAAAAACGAATCGCAACTAAAATAAAAATAAGCATGTTAGTTTTAATTATAAATTAATTAATATTATAAATTAACTTGCCCATTTAAATCTGGGCTATATGGCGGCCAATCAATACCGGACCCAGTTTTTCGACGGGCATCCAAACCGACAATTCGATGTCGAAAATAAGTTGATATGTCGAAAACTGGTTGAGTCCGGTGACTTGTTGCATGTACCAATAATTGTCTACCATATGAAAACCCTGAGCATTTTCAATGAATTCCTCCAAAACCTCCTGTTACAAAAAATATAAATATTAATTTTTATTAGCATGCTGGTTAATTTAAAAATTATTTATACCTCATATTTGGGTCCGGTAACGTTACCGTCAATGAAAATTGGACCCATAATGCCATTGGCGCTCAATGCACACCAGACGGTTACGCGGTCCGGGTGTAGGGGCTTAGGAACGCCTAAATTCGGATTTTCGGTTCCCCAATACCCATCATTTTGCTTATTTACATATCCGGAGACATCGAAATGACATTCGTTACTAAACCAGAATTGATCAAGGTTAACTTCGCCACCATTTATCATTTCCAACATTTTAGTAGCAAAATTAACCCTGCGCGTCATATCATTAGGTTTTAATTGATGCTGAACTTGGATGTTGTAGGGGAATAGTTTTAAATCTTTTTTCATAATATTTTGAAGACTTGATCTTTTAATCCGTAAAATAATTGATGCTTTCCTTTGAAAAATTCTCGGATTCTTTTTATAAAATTTTCTAACCTTGCTAATATTCGGTTTTATTGTAATAGTCTTTGGGCGACCCGTAGATGCAATATTAGCAACATTTCCGGTTTCATCCAATTTGTCAATCAGACTATAATTAAAAATATAAATCAAAAATTAAACCAGCATATTCAAATTGACATTCCGACAACTCTTTAATGTAATAACCCTTTAGTGAATGAACAAACAATGTGGTCAAGTGATGGCATAACTGGTCATACATAAGTGATCATTGGATCAGTTTTCGTTCAAGACTTTAGAAACTCAAGTTAGGATCAAATACTCACCAAATATTGACAAATGAGTGATATATTGACTTTTGATAAAAACAATTTCATCACTAAATGTAAATCAAGTGATTCGTTCATATTCTTCGACATGTCATCCATTGATATGAATATTAATTGATTGAAGTGATTGTCAAATGATATTAATTTGAATTAAAAGTAAGTGTTAACCCAAACACGTGCTGTAAGTGTTAACCCAAACACGTGCTGTAAGTGTTAACCCAAACACGTGCTGTAAGTGTTAACCCAAACACGTGCTGTTTATCAACAAATCAATGCAACAATTCATAGGTAACGTTGTAAACAACCACTTCATTGTATGGTGATAAACCATTCATTTTACTAACTTGTAAGTTTTTACTATCAAGATACTGTAACTTAGTAAGAATTGTTTTAAATGTGGTATTATTTAGATTTTCATGTTTTCTGTAAATATTTTATTTTACAGTTAAAAGTAAAAATAATCTTTATAATAAAAGTAATTGCTAAGTATTTGCTAATTTGCAATTTATTATAATTCATATCCCATATGATATGACAGAGAATCTAATATTTATAAAGAATAAGCACTTTCTGTAATACAAAAGTTGAGAATTTAATTGTTGTAAAGTGAAGGGAATGGGAGGTCGGGTGTGGGCTGTAACCAATTGAGTGGATCCCAGAATCTGTTGTTTTGATCGAATATATGGAAGGTATAGATGGGACGACCAGCCGAAGAGTGGTTGACATCACTTCTATGCACAACCAGTCCGTCGATCAAAACTGCCGACCCTTTACTCACAGGCGTCTCCACAAAACTTTTGTCTTCAAATTTCTTGCATTCTTTGGTTAACTTCATCGAAGGGTTTCCGTCGGAAGTGCGGACCCATTGTGTGTGGAGTTCGTCCTGATGTGAGCCGGGGATGAATGAAAGGCAACCGTTTTCTGTCTATATTAATGAGATTTCGTTAAAAATCGCTTTTAAAATATTGATCTAAAGTCTAAGAACCGTCGCGTCTTCCAAAGCAAACCACAATCCAATGACTTTGGGGTCAGGGGTTGAGTGTAAATATGTTGAGTCCTGATGTGGGATCACTTCACCACCGATTCCTGGATTCTTGAAGATATACATACTTTGCACGACAACCGGATCAACAAAACCCAAGCGTTGAACCAATTGTTTGACTTTAGGGCTAAATGTGATGCGTCTGAAGGAAGGGCTCAACCAATGCAATGCGTGACCTATTTTGTTGAGAGACAAGTACTTGTCCACAACCAGATCTCCCGCATCATTGAGG